TTTTTTAATTTTTTAATTGCACTGCCTTGCACTGTTCCTTTTAAGACATTGCTAGTCGTATGTCCCTTGGATATTTCCTGGAAGTTTGCCAAAGTAATCTTTAATTGTATCTCTCTTCCTTTAAAGGATTTTAGGTTTTTAACAAACAGAAGAGTGTCCTGGACATTAGGAACCTCACCCTGGAGATTGTATTATATGTTGACTGGCTTTTTCTTAGGAATCCTAAGCTTTGCCTGGTCTGTTACCTGCCTTGGATTGTTCTTAGCTTAAGGTGTCACTAGCATGACTATAACTAGTTGAATCCAATCAAAAGAAACACCTGTGTGGAAATTATAGAATTTCATCTATGCAGTTTTTAGGTAAAAAAGTTAAAAAGTTAAAGCAGAATTAGCGAAGATCTTTGAACTCTGGGAATTCACACTGTAAAATCAATCCCCATGTGGAGTTAGTTGTTTTAGAAGTCCTCTCATAGCAACTATTTAAACAGAAAAGGTGCTATGTATGCCCATTATTGTTCCAGTGAGGTTGTATGCCCAGGCCCCAGATTTTGGGCTTGGAATTAGATCTCCAAACCTGTGCAACTTAGGTAGAAATTGGGAAGTAAATCAGACCTATAAGGAGAGGTAACACGATGGTAATTTACAGTAGACAGTGAAGCCAGACACCTGGGTTTAAAACCTTGCTCCACTGTTTATTAGCTGTGTGACTGTGGGAACTTTCCTTAACCTCTTTCTTCCTCACCTATCAAATGGGGGTAATAATGGCACCTATTTCATAAAGTTTTTTGACTATTTTAAAAAAATTTTTTTTAAGGTTTTTTTTTTTTAATTTATATTTTGACAGAGAGAGAGAGAGGGAACACAAGCAGGGGGAGTGGGAGAAGGAGAAGCAGGCTTCCCGCTGAGCGGGGAGCCCAATTGGGGGGCTTGATCCCAGGACCCTGGGATCATGACCTGAGCTGAAGGTAGACGCTTAACGACTGAGTCACCCAGGCTCCCCAAGTTTTTTGACTATTAAATAACATGGGGCACCTGGGTGGCTAGTTGGTCAGTTAAGCATCTGCCTTTGGCTTAGATCATGACGCCGGAGTCCTGGGATCTAGTCAGTGGGGATCTAGCTCAGTGGGAAGCCTGCCTCTGCCCTTCCCCCCACCTCTGCTTGCTCCCTCTCTCACTCTGTTTCTCTCAAATAAATAAAATCTTTTAAAAATAACATTTATAAAGTACTTAGAACCATATGTGGCACATGATACGTGTGAATAAAGTTTATGACCATCTGTACTTAAGATGTAAGGTTTGTAGCAATTTGACATATTGAACAATCTCCGCTGAATCATTTGTGATTCTAATGTAGAATGTGTTCTTGAGTACTTGGGTTTTAGATTTGATTACTAGTTTAAGGATGGAAGAAAACTTTGCTGTTTGAGTAGCAATATTTAAGAACTTCTTGAGATAAACTAGGTTCATCGGTTTAACTTTTTAGGATTTACCAGAGTTTTTTCATTACTTAAAGATTTGCTTGGTAGGCAGTTGAAGTGCTAAAACAAGAAAAGAGACTATATGAAGATTGTAGACATAGTTTGAAATATTTGATGGAAATACCAAACTTTTAGGATAGTGGTTATAGAGTATTCAATATATTACCATGTTTTCTATTTTAAACTGGGTGGTAAGTATAAAAGTTTTTATTATATTGCTTAAATCTTCTGTTTCTAATACAGTAGTTTTTTAATTAATTTGGTAAATTTGTAAAAGAAACTGAGTAAGGGCAATCTTAATTATAAATTGAACACAAGGTCTTAAGTCTTAACTTAAATCCAAGTAATTGTAATATAGTCTCTTTGTGCACAAAACCTGTTCTTGGACATAAGTTATATGGACAAAAAGGTACTGAGGGTAGTAAATTGGGGATGTCAAGTAGAAAAGACAGGAAAGTATATCTAAGCAATTATGATCTTGTCACTACTGTCATTGTGCTTTTATCTGCCAGCCTGTTAGCCTGGCCTCAGAATTCATAGGGGAGAAGGAAAGAAAAGGAAAGTGGAATCAGCTCCAGCCTTTCTGTGGAATTGGAATGTCCTCTTCTCTCCTGCATCTCTTCTCTCATTTCTTCTACCTTGGCTTTTTTCCAAGGTAGAAGAAATACGAAACAGACATCTGTCTGCCAACAGACATCTTTGAATTTTATGCCTTCCCCAACTTCTGTAGTTTTTGCCTTAAATTCTATTTTGAAGGCTATAAATACAGCTGCACCAACTCTCTTTTGGGTATGTCTCTTTTTCCATCCTTTGCCCATTTTTCTGTTAGGTTAGTTTCATGCATTTTCCTAAGCTCTCATTGAATATTGTGATAACAACTCTGTGTAGTCTGTTGCAAATACACTTTTTCAAATCTTTCTAGGATCCCTTACCATACAAAGGTTTTTGGTTTTTTGGGGGGGAGGGGGAGTTGTAGTCAAATTTGTCTTTTCTCTTTTAGCTTTTGGGTTTTGGGTCCTGATTAAAAAGGCCTCCCTACTCCAAGATTTTAAGTCTCCTAGAATATTCTTTTTTTTTTTTTTTAAAGATTTTATTTATTTACTTGAGAGAGAGAATGAGAGAGCGAGAGC